ACTACACATGGGATACCACCACGATATACCTGCCACCACACCTGGGATACCACCAGGATATACCTACCACCACACGTGAGATACCACCAGGATATACCTGCCACCACACACGGGAGACCACCACGATATACATGCCACCACACATGAGATACCACCAGGATATACATGCCACCACACGTGAGATACCACCACGATATACATGCCACCACACATGAGATACCACCACGATATACATGCCACCAAACATTGGTACCACCACGATATACCTGGCATACCACCACGATATACCTGCCACTACACATGAGATATCACCACGATGTACTTGCCACTACACATGGGATACCACCACAATATACCTGCCACCACACATGGATACGACCAAGATATACCTGCCAACCTCAGCACTCACGTCATTTGCCAACCTCAGCACTCAAGTCATGGCCCAACCTCAGAACAAACATCTCAGGGACCAGCCACAACACCAATATATCATGGCCCAACCTCAGCTAGCACTCACGTCATGGACCAACCTCAGCACTCACGTCATGGCTCAACCTCAGAACAAACATCTCAGGGACCAACCACAGCACCAATATATCATGGCTCAACCTTAGCACAAACGTCTCATGGACCAACCACAGAACAAACATCTCAGGGACCAGCCACAGCACCAATATATCACGGACCAACCTCAGCTAGCACTCACGTCATGGGCCCAACTCAGCACTCATGTCATGGACCAACCCCAGAACAAACATCTCAGGGACCAGCCACAGCACCAATATATCCAGGACCCCTCTCAGCTAGCACTCACGTCATGGGCCCAACTCAGCACTCACGTCATTTACCAACCTCAGAACACACGTCATGAACCAACCCCAGAACAAACATCTCAGGGACCAGCCACAGCACCAATATATCATGGCCCAATCTCAGCTAGCACTCACGTCATGGGCCCAACTCAGCACTCACGTCATGAACCAACCCCAGAACAAACATCTCAGGGACCAGCCACAGCACCAATATATCATGGCCCAACCTCAGCACTCATGTCATGGACCAACCTCAGTACTCTCGTCATTTACCAACCTCAGCACTCACGTCATGAACCAACCCCAGAACAAACATCTCAGGGACCAGCCACAGCACCAATATATCACGGACCAATCTCAGCTAGCACTCACGTCATGGGCCCAACTCAGCACTCACGTCATGAACCAACCCCAGAACAAACATCTCAGGGACCAGCCACAGCACCAATATATCATGGCCCAACCTCAGCACTCATGTCATGGACCAACCTCAGCACTCTCGTCATTTACCAACCTCAGCACTCACGTCATGAACCAACCCCAGAACAAACATCTCAGGGACCAGCCACAGCACCAATATATCATGGCCCAACCTCAGCTAGCACTCACGTCATGGGCCCAACTCAGCACTCATGTCATGAACCAACCCCAGAACAAATATCTCAGGGATCAGCCACAGCACCAATATATCATGGCCCAACCTCAGCACTCATGTCATGGACCAACCTCAGTACTCACGTCATTTACCAACCTCAGAACACACGTCATGAACCAACCCCAGAACAAACATCTCAGGGACCAGCCACAGCACCAATATATCCAGGACCCCTCTCAGCTAGCACTCACGTCATGGACCAAACTCAGCACTCACGTCATGGACCAACCTCAGTACTCATGTCATTTACCAACCTCAGCACTCACGTCATGAACCAACCCCAGAACAAACATCTCAGGGACCAGCCACAGCACCAATATATCATGGCCCAACCTCAGCACTCATGTCATGGACCAACCTCAGAACTCAAGTCATTTACCAACCTCAGAACTCACGACATGAACCAGCCTCAGCACTCATGTCATGGCCCAACCTCAGCACAAACATCTCAGGGACCAGCCTCACCACATCGTCTCATGGGCCAACCACAGCACCAATATATCATGGCCCAACCTCAGCACTCACGTCATTTACCAACCTCAGCACAAACATCTCAGGGACCAACCACAGCACTCATGTCATGGCCCAACCTCAGCACTCATGTCATGGCCCAACCTCAGCATAAACATCTCAGGGACCAACCACAGCACTCATGTCATGGCCCCAACCTCAGCACTCATGTCATGGCCCAACCTCAGCACTCATGTCATGGCCCAACCTCGGCACTCACGTCATGGTCCAACCTCAGCATAAACATCTCAGGGACCAACCTCAGCACAAACGTCTCATGGACCAACCTCAGCGCACACACACTATGTACCACCACCAGGAACACACATCCCCACCATCGACTCAGATGTACAACCATCAGCAACAACAACAGTAAAGTCAACCAGCATAACGACACCAATGCATTCAACCTAGAGTATGGAAGACAGAAAGCGACATACTTGGGTGACTCACATATAACCACTGAGCAGCTATTGAGCATAGAGTTTACCTGGTAACGCATCAACAGTCAGTCAAGGATATTTTAACAATGAAGCTTCTGTTAATATGCCTGGAGTCCCTCAGCGGGACGCACATATGCCATAACCACATCCAACTCACGTCAGATGAGGGAGATGTATGTGTATAGATAGGTATTTGTTATTCAAACCAAGTTCATCGAGTTTAGAGACGATTGCCACGGTTCTGTAATTCACAATCACAACCTCGGTAATTGTAGTGTGTGTATATGTCACCACAAGTTTCAGACTGGAAAATATGAGGCGTGTCTGTATCTGAAACGTCCATTTATATGACTAGCAGCTAAACCGTACTGGTGGTGTGGTTAGAGCGTCTGCCGGTCGGTGTAGTTCGATCCCCGCCAAACCAAAATACTTTGACGACAGTGTCTGGGTTACTCTACTTGGCGCTGGGCATAATTGATACTTTGACTGGTTGACTCGGACACATCACACACAACACACATAGGAGATGTAGCAAGACTTCACAACATCTTCACCCACAAGCGGAAACTGTCAAAATATATACTTGGTTGCGCTTCATAGACAAATTATGACCTTTAACAACTACGTTTCTGGAGAATACTTTGTGAGCGAAATTGGTTAACACATGTGTGTGCGTATGTGTGTGTGTGTGTGTGTGTGTGTGTGTGAGAGAGAGAGAGAGAGCGAGAGAGAGCGAGAGAGAGAAATAAAGAGAGAGGGGGGGGGGAGAGACGTAGTGCCCTACCGTTGACGGGACAAGGAGTAGCCCTGTAACGCCTATATAAATATTTAAAACTGTATCTATTCAAGAACAGCGTGTTTCAGCAATCGCCTCATCACTCTATCAACCATATCAGAAGAATTCCTCTGTCAAGTATACTAAATATAGAAACAAACTACAATCCCTCTACGTTAAGATTAGTTTAATACAGCTGATTTCATGTGTTTGTAATATAAACCATAGCACCAAAAGAACATAATTAACTCAGTCGTTCAATTAAAAATACTTAATAACACCAGCCAATCGGAAAACACTTGTCTATTGTCCACTTTGTGCAGACGAAGCATCTCCATACGTTTCTGCAGCAATTTCTTTGAGTTTCTTCATGACATGGAACATAATCACCTTGCCAGGAAACGGATAAACATATGCAGCCATGGCAGCAACTGAAATACCGAGTAAGCGGAATGCTGAAATAATTCAGCTTAACGCAGACAGTTTGCTTGAAGCAATATCAGTTCACAAGCAGTGAAAGGTTGAGAAATTTTCGGGCTTTGTTGCTTTTATGTGCAATATAATTTGTTCTACAACACTGCTGGCATTCTTATCTGCGTTTCTTCTGGTGATGTTGAATTATAATATCATTTTTTATATTCAGATTGACACGTCGGTACCGAACAAAGGACGATATCTCGCGCTGACCTCTCAGGTGTATATATGTTGTTGTTTCTTCCAATCATCATAATGATTACAGTTTCCCCCAAGAACAGTGTCGAACCAAGGGCTCCACAAAGAATTCCAAGTGTTCCCACAACACCATAATGGCTTTTTGTGGCCGATGCTTCCATACTGAATCACGCTTGTCTCTCTGAGGGCATTTCGGGTAGAATATAATCCTGCTGAACCAGTTTTGTCTCCCTGTATTTAGAGATTTCGAGTAAAATACAACCCTATTTATCCATGCGTGTCCGGCAGAACACATCCCTTTTGAACTATGTGTCTCTCTGTGGATATTCCGGGTAGAAGACAACACTATTTAACCAGGCGTGTCTCATTGTAGAAATTACGAGTAGAATACAATCATACTAAATCATGCTCTCTCCCAGAAGAAATTCGAAAGACTGGCTTCTACAAAGAATTCCAGGTGTTCCCACAACATCAACATCATCATGGCGTCGTATGGACGATGCTTCCATACTGAACCAGGCTTGTCTGCTGTAGACATTCGAAAAGTGTCTTCCACAAAGAATCCCAAGTGTTCCCAATACACCATAATGGCGTCGTATGGACGGTGCTTCCATACTGAACCAGGCTTGTCTCGTTCCGGGTAGGATTACCCCCAATATGACATGGTACCCCCAATATAAGATGCTTAACCTGGTGAAAACAAACAACATCGCCATGTTTGTCTCCCTTTCAGTGTTTCAGTTCACAGACTTTATCCGGTTTACCATGATGGCAGGGATGCGGTCAGAACAGTATCCCCATTTACAAATAAGGAGATAAACGTGACAGCTCTTAGTATAGTTTTACTAATATTGATTATTCAATACCCTTGGATTTAAGATGTAAACATGTCCGATAAAACCATATAGATCTGAACATGCATGACGATTGCTGATATCATAAAGTTGTCAGCCACTTTCTGAAGCTTCTCTAGAATTCAATAACCACATACACCCGCATACACGATTGAAGCTGCTTTTCAACCAACGGACCAAGTAATATCAATGCAATTAGTATACACGCTGTAACAAGACAATCATACTCCAGCAGAATCACTCTTGTGGAGACACATGTGACCAGACATGTTATCACGTGATCTGATGACGTTTCATGCACCCGATTATCCGACCGCCAGACAGTCAAGACGACCAGGCGGACTTGCACCTTTTGAAAGACATCACACGGTATTCAAGGCAAGTGATTTTATATCATTTATAACAAAAACCTATTGAAACTGGTGCGTTTGTATATTCATAATTAAGGGATGGGTTTAATTGTAGGCTGCTTCTACTGAAAGGTTATATCTTCTTCTTTCTTGAAAGATTCACAACAAAACTCGTTCGAATTGGAGGACATTGTCTCTTAATGGTGGGGTGAAAATAGTACATTTCGTATATTGTTAAGTTCATGGTAGGAGTATATTATTCATTTGTCTAATCCAAAGACTAAGTCTTCAACAGCTTTTTCTAGGTGGAAAATAACAGAAAAAAATATACATGTAACCAACGACATGCGAGGAGCGTATACAAGTTATTATATCTGTCACTTTCAATAGTATGGAATCCTTGAAGGGACACTGTTGTGATGTCCCCATTTACAAAAGTAAAATTAACCAAAGCAAAACAATGCGGCAACGCCCCGTCGCGGATTCAGTACGACAAGTCTAAACTGGTTTCGATGTTAAAATGATATTTATCCCTGTAAGAAGATAAAACAACACAGCATCAAGCGGGTTTATGGTATGCAGTAGCAGAAAGCGCACTTAAGGGTGTTTTAAAATATTTTCTGAACCCTATACTTTAAACCATCAAAAAATAGCCTTATATAATGAATGTATGAAATTTTTCAAGTTGCATGCGCATGACGATGTTTGAAAAATACGGTACAAAATGAGATGGCAAAAATAAAATTTTCATAACGTATACGTCTCGCTCGACTTAAGCCTCCCTCGATATATAGAAGCTGCTTTCATGACATTTTCTCCTGACATACTTTCCAATCTCCTCCTCTCCGCATGACTTTCCCCGTACAAAGTTTATGCACAATTATTTTCCTTTCACTTGCTCTGAAGAGTAACCTGTAATTATAAGAACAGGTTTTGCATATGAACTCAACTGATAAAGGTCATAGAACGACTCACACATGAAGCAAGCTAATATACCTTGTTATATGACGGTATGTCGCACTGACTTTACGAAAACAGAATCAGAATGAAGTCCCCAACTAGTGAGTGAGAGAGTTTAGTTTTCCCCGCATTTATCAATATTACAGTATATGGCAGCGGTCTGTAAATAATCGAGTCTGGACCAGACAATCCAGTGATCAATATCATGAGCATCGATCTACGCAATTGGGATACGATGACATGTGTCAACCAAGCCTGGCCACCCTATCCCGTTAGTCGCCTCTTACGACAAGCATGGGTTACTGAAGATCAAATCTAACCCGCATCTTCACGGGTCCGCAAGGAAAGAAAACACATCTTAACAATACATTCACATACACGGTCAGCGCCTTTGGTTATAACTGGGGTGCTGCTTCATCTATTTAACTACGGCGCTTTGCTATGTGCTTATTTAACCTCAAGCTAAAAATACAAAGACCATATCAAGATGCCATTAAGACATTGATATTATTAGGCTTTGAATGTGTAAAAGAATGTCACTTTTCCTGTTTCTAAGTCAGTTTAAGTCCAAATATTATATGATGTGGGAAGTCATTGCGGTAGGTTATAACGTTGGGGAATAACGTAATAGGTTTGCTGGACGCTTCTCATAGGAAAACTGCTAATAATAGTACATGCATTTGAAAATATACGGCGGGGAAACAGGTATATTGCCATAGTATGTTATGACATGCTTAGCTTAAAACAACCAAAATACAACTGTGACCTAATTTGGAAGTCTCTTGCAGTAACAGACACCATGCCGAAGGAAAAGACTCACATCAGTATCGTTGTGATCGGCCACGTGGACTCGGGGAAGTCAACAACTACTGGTCATCTCATCTACAAGTGTGGAGGGATTGACAAAAGGACAATTGAAAAGTTTGAGAAAGAGGCCCAAGAGGTAGGGTTGCCTCGCCCATAAATAAGAAAACAGGGCAAGTGAGTGAGTGAGATTAGTTTACGCCGCACTCAACGATATTCCAGCTATATGGCGGCGGTTTGTAAATAATCGAGTCTGGACCAGATAATCCAGTGATCAATATCGATCTGCGCAATTGGGATACGATGACATGTGTCAATGAAGACAGCGAGCCTGACTTGGCTGACTTAGTCGCCTCTTACGATAAGCATGGGTTACTGAAGATCAATTCTAACCCGGATCTTCACGGGTCAGAATACAGGGCAACTGGTAAAAGGACCCCTAGGGGCATTCGTAAAGCAGTTGAAATTGTTTGTATAAATGTCGTTGTCCACTTAATATAAGGCTGTGCATACGTAAAAGATAAATAAGCTGTGCCCATACAGTCAAAGAAATTACAAGCGTGCTAACTTGAATCCCAAAATGGAAGTAGTGTCAGCGTGTTTACATGTATCACACTGCCTTTATCAAAGGAACAATACCGACTATGAAACGTGGATTGCGGCGGCATCATTTTTTTGGAAAGAGAATGCATGACGTTCTATGTCAAAAGCAAATACACACACACGCGCACACACCACACCCCTACCCCCTCACATCCCGGTCACTCTACGCACACAGAGACACACTCAAAGTCGCCCACCCATCTAAACACTTTATCAGTTCTTTTCACGAATACAACGTAACACATAATTCACTTCAAGAAACACTACCAAACAATGCCATAAATGACATAAACATATTTCACTCTATACATATAAATATATTTCTATCTATTAAACTAAAAGGATTTCACTATATTATGCACCAAACTGAAATAGCAGAATTCTGCTGTAGCTTGTTCCTACCCTTTGTCACAGATGGGCAAGGGGTCCTTCAAGTATGCCTGGGTGCTGGACAAACTGAAGGCCGAGAGAGAAAGGGGCATCACTATCGACATTGCTCTCTGGAAGTTCGAGACAACGAAGTTCTCTATTACCATTATTGACGCTCCAGGCCATAGAGACTTCATCAAGAACATGATCACTGGAACCTCCCAGGTGAGTAGGTCATGGGCGGCAACTCATTGCATTGTAGAGCATTAACCAAAGAAGGTTGTTCCTAAGAATTTAGTAAGTTGTCCAACATGTTGGCTGAGTGGGTTAGATCACTGACTTTGTGTGCTGGCGATTAGGTGTCTGACCTAAGTGTGAATTCAAATCCTTGCGGATTCAACCCTAAATAAGTTCTAGAACCGGTACTTTAACGAGAGATGTAACCCCAAGTATATAATGTCCGTGTGCTTAGTTCATTTCATTAGTAATGGCGCACACGTTTGGCTTCTGTATGCAGGCGCATCTCACGCTGCTGTGCAGTTTCAGAGTGAGTGAGTTTAGTTTTACGCCGCTTTTGACTATATTCCAGCAATAGCACAGCGGGGTATACCGGAAATGGCCTTCACAGATATAAGTAATCGAACTCGGGTGTTCGGCAGAACGAGCGAAAGCCCACTAGGCGACTAGGCGACCGAACCGCCCCAGTTTCATTGTGATTAGATGCAACCCCATTCCACGGTAGCTACAATCAAATCATTATTGCCCCTTTTCTGTCAGTTCCTATGTATTTCACCTGGATTAGATCAGAAATATAATTGTATATTACAATGCATTCATATAAGCAATCGCTTATCTCTCTTTGAGTTCAATAATACAATATTATACATATATCGAAGGTACTATGTACTTGATTGAAGTCGCCTTGATCACATGTCCAATGCAATCCTTACCCGACTGAAGTCACCTTGATCACATGTCCAAGGTACTCTTTACCTGACTGAAGTCACCATGATCACATGTCCAAGGTATTCCTTACCTGACTGAAGTCACCTTGATCACATGTCCAAGGTATTCTTTACCTGACTGAAGTCACCTTGATCATGTTTCTGGTTTCTTTCCTTTTACTTCGCTTTTCCGACTTCGTTTTTCATCCTTGGCCTTCATCTCACTCTGGTCATCTCAGGTCTTTTGCCCCTTGTTCATTAGTTACCATTGTCCTTCTTGAATCTGATACCATCATCTAACCACTTCATCAGCTTGTTCCCTGTCTCTCATGACATTCTCTTTTCAGGCCGACTGTGCTGTACTCATAGTGGCAGCGAGCACCGGGGAGTTTGAAGCTGGAATATCCAAAAATGGCCAAACAAGAGAACATGCCCTGCTTGCCTACACGTTGGGCGTGAAACAAATTATTGTTGGCGTTAACAAGATCGACAATACGGAACCGCCCTACTCTGAAACGAGGTTCCTGGAAATTGTCTCCGAAGTTAAAACCTACTTGAAAAAGGTTGGCTTTGATCCTAAATCTGTGGCAATTGTTCCTATCTCTGGTTGGCATGGGGACAACATGCTTGATGTAAGTCCAAACATGCCTTGGTATAAAGGCTGGACAACTGAAAAAACTATTGAAAAGACACAAATAAAAGCTTCAGGAAAAACACTTTTCGACGCACTTGATAGCATCGTACCTCCCACTAGACCCATTAAAAAGCCTCTGCGTCTCCCACTTCAAGACGTCTATAAGATAGGAGGTGAGTGTGTCCTGCATTCTGCTGTTCCCTAGGGACAATGTACAAATACATACCAACTGTCTTTTTTTGTGCTCAATGATAATATGATTCCCATATGTATGAAGCCAATTGCCCGTGTGATTCCGATGTGGAAAATTGTCAAATTTGCTAAATGTCAGGTAAAACCATTTTGACATCAATCACAATCAGCTCACGCAATGTTAAATTAAACTTTAAAACAATCCGTACTGGCATATTATACTCGTCATGTTTTTACTATCATTAGCAAAGCATCAATGGACATTCCAAACGTCCTTGAACTGAATGAGGTTATGCGCTTACTAATGACGCTGATGCGTTTTAAGGTAATACTATATTCACGAGTTCAAATAAAAAACAATAATATATGCCCTTGAACATTATCATTATGTTTCATTGCCATTTTAATTGGAACCCGTAACAATTCTCTCGAATACGTATTGATTATTGTTGTTTTCTTTCGTTTAGGAATTGGAACGGTACCAGTGGGCAGAGTGGAGACAGGAGTCCTGAAGCCAGGAATGGTCGTTACATTCGTCCCTGTCAACATCACCACAGAGGTAACACGTATTTAGGGCTTCTTGAAAATCTATTCATGATGTTAAATTGGTGTTTTCATGACAAATTCATAAATGATTGGTTTAATCTGTTGTGTCATTTCAGGTGAAGACAGTGGAGATGCACCATGAATCACTGTCTGAAGCCTTGCCTGGAGACAACGTTGGCTTCAACGTCAAGAACGTCTCCGTCAAGGAGATACGACGAGGGAACGTAACAGGAAACAGCAAGGACAACCCACCATTCGAGGCGCAGTGTTTCGATGCTCAGGTAATGGCTAATATATAAACAATAGATTTGCTTTCTGAATATTATTCTGTAGTTTTTTGAAAAGCAAAAACAGTCAATAATCTTGATGTACCCACACCATCCCGGGTCACACTGTACTGCACTGAACATCGCCACAGTAATGTATGCTTTGCCATATAAAACACCACGCCACATTACAGAGCATAATGCCTCACCACACCTCAGCCCACCACACCAGGCCACAACACACTATCACCTCACCACATCACACAACACGACACCACACAACACAACATCATACATGACACCACACACCACAACACAACACAACACACAACACTATCACCACACCGCACCACACAACCCGCCACTGCACCACACACCACCACGCCACACACCACATCACACCACACCCACACTACGCCACACGCCACACACCACACCACATCACACACCACCATACCACACCACATCACACACCACACCACACCAAACACCACCACACACCACATCACACCACGCCACACACCACACCACACCACCACACACCACGCCACACTACAACACACCACACCACGCCACACACCACACCACACCAAACACCAACACACACCACACCATACACCACACCAAACACCAACACACACCACACCATACCACACCACACATCACACCACACCACACCACTCACCACCACACACCAAACCACACCACACCGCGCCACACACCACACTACACCACACTATGCAAGTTAAACTAGGCAACATGTCCACTGTCTTTTCTATGTAATCACATAAAACAATTCCTCTTGTCAGGTGATTATCCTGAATCACCCGGGTCAGATCGCTGCTGGATACGCTCCAGTCTTGGATTGTCACACAGCACACATCGCATGTAAGTTCGCGGAACTCAAAGAGAAAGTGGACCGTAGGAATGGCAAGAAGCTGGAAGACAATCCCAAGTTCTTGAAGTCTGGGGACGCTGGCATCATAAATCTGATACCATCTAAACCAATGTGTGTAGAGCCATTTGCCGAGTTTGCTCCACTCGGAAGATTTGCAGTCCGCGACATGCGACAGACGGTGGCCGTCGGGATCATCAAGGAGGTCACCAAGAAGATAGCAAGCACGGGCAAAGTGACCAAAGCTGCCAAGAAAGCACTTTAACCTGTACCGTTCTCAAAGCTTATGAGTAGATTTTCACTTAAATCATATTACATCATTTCACTGTAACATGTCTTATATATGAACAACGACTAACAAATATTTCATGTTGTGTAGTTATGTAAAGTATATTTATATATCTGTCTGTTATACTGACTGAGTTTGGTTTTACGCCGCTTTGAGCAATATTCCAGCAACATCACGGCGGGGAACACCAGAAATGGGCTTCACACATTGTGCCCATGTGTGGATTCGAACCCGGGTCTTCGGCGTGACGAGCCAACGCTTTAACCATTAGGCTACCCCACCGCCCCCTGTCTGTTATAACCCACATGGGTCCTTCAGTAAGTTGTTTAACTATTTTGAAGAATAATGCTATAAGGAGGCAAAGGATATTGGAAAACGAGGGACTTCTCACAAAAGACTTGGATATTATGCTCAAAGCGCAATATCTAGACTCTTTAGTCTCCTTCCTATGCATCGATGATAACAGTTTACATGATTCCGTTCAGTGTTCCCATTGTTGACTATAAGGCGTAACATTTCATTTGAAACCAATTTAAGAAGGATTATGTTGTGAAAGAAATATGCCATCCTGTTGTATACATGAGTGATTGATTGAGTTGGGTTTTACGCCGATTTTAGCAAATTTTAGTGCTAAAGATAGAAACAAACTACAATGCCTCTAACTTAACATTAGTTCAATACAGCAGCGTTTCATGTGTTTGTAATATGGGCCAATGGACGGACCAAAGAACATAATGAACTCTGTCAATTAAAAATACTTACACCAGCCAATAGGAAAATACTTGTCTATTGTCCACTTTGTCCAAACGAAGCATCTCCATACGTTTCTGCAGCAATTTCTTTGAGTTTATTCATGGCATGGAATGTAATGATTTCCCCAGGAAACGGATAAAATCATATGCAGCCATGGCAGCAACCGAAATGCCGGGTAATCGAAATGCTGAAATAATTCAGCTAAACGTAGACAGCTTGAAGCGATATCAGTTCACAAGCAGTGAAAAGTCTAGAAACCTATGGGCTTTTTGCTTTTCGATGCATATTTGATTTGATTTGCAACACTGCAGGCAACCTTATTTGTGTTTCTTGCGTTGATCTTGAATTATAATGATATCATTTGGGATATTCAGATTGACACGTTGGTACCGAACAAAGGACGATATATCGCACTGACCTCTCGGGTGTATAAATGTACATCTGTTGCTGTTGTTGTTTCTTCCAGTAATCATGATGAATCAAAGAATTCCAGGTGTTCCCACAACACCGACACCATCATGGCGTCGTATGGACGATGCTTCCATACTGAACCAGGCTTGTCACCCTGTAGACAGTCCAGGTAGAATACAACCAGGCCACACCATATGTGCAACTCAGGAGAATTTAATCAGACGTATACAGTATTACATTTACCATGCATATATATAAAGAAATGGGTATTTAGAAACACTTTAGACTTCATTTGTCTGCTCCTGTTAACTATGTAGAGCTATATCTTGTATATGGGCCCTTGGCCTCGTTACAAATAAACTCTTGACTTTGACTTGACCATGCTTGTCTCCCTCATGCCGACTAGGATTGCCCCCCGATATAACATGCTTCACTTAGTGAAAAAACAATATCGCCATGTTTGTCTCCCTTTAAGTGTTTCAGTTTAAAGATTTTACCATGATGGCTGGGATCCGGTCAGAACAGTATCTCCATTTACAAATAAGGAGATAAACGTGACAGCTCTTAGTATAGGTTTTCTAAATGATTCTGCAATACTCGGGGATTAAAGATGTAAAAATGTCCGCTGAAACCAAAAGATCTGAAAATACATGGCGATTACCGACATCATAAAGATGCCAGCCACTTTTTAAGCTTCTCTAGGATTCAATAACCACATACACCCGCATGCACCACTGAAGTTGCTTTTCAACCAACCGACCAAGTGATATCGCAGTTAGTATACAAGGTGAAACACGACAACAATACACCTTGCAGCTGAATCACTCATCTGGAGACACAAGTCATCTGATAGGTTATCACGTGATCTGATGACGTTACATGCACCAGATTATCCAGACCGCCAGACAGTCAAGACGATCAAGCAGACTTACACGTTTTGAAAGAAATCACCCGGAGTTTAAGGTAAGTAATTTTATACCATTTATTAAAAAGCCATTGGAATTGGTGCGTTTGTATCTTCACACTTAAGGGACGGGTTAAATATTAGGCTACTACTGCAAGGACATTGTCTCCGCCTAATGATGGGCAGAAAATAGTACATTTTGTATATTGTTTTGTTCAAGGTAGGAGTGTACTATTCACATGGTAAAACCAAAGACCACACATTCAGAGCTTTTCCTTAGTGGATAAGACCAACAAAAGCTTTTTTGAAATCAACGACATGAAAGGGGCGTATGCAAGCTATTATATATGTCAATTTCGATAGTATGGAATCCTAGAAGGGACATTGTCGTGTTGTCGCCATTAACAAAAAGTTAAAATTCACTAAAGCACGACAATGCGACAACGCCCCTTCACGGATTCAATACGACTAAACTGGTTTGGATTTTAAAGATGATATTTATCCCTGTAAGATGATAAAACAACGCGGCATCAAGCGGGTTTATGGTATCAGGACAATGCTGGGTGAACGTAATCGCAGATGCAGTAGGGACTGTACACATTCCTTAGCAGAATGCACACTTAAACATGTTTTAAAAATATTTCCTTAACTCTATACTTTAAACCATCAAAATAGGCTTGAATAATATGAGTGTTGTTATGAAATATTTCAAGTTGCATGCGCATGATGGTGTTTGAAAATCGGTATAAGATGAGCTGGCAAAAATACAATTTTCATAATGTATACGTCTCGCTTGACTTAAGCCTCCCTCAATATATAGAAGCTGCTGTCATGACCTACTTTCCGATCTCCTCCTCTCCGCAGGACTTTCCCCATACAAAGTTTATACACAAATATTTTCCTTTCACTTTCTCTGAACAGTAACATATAAATAAGAACACGCTCTGCATATGAACTCAACTGATAAAAGGTCATAGAGCGACTCACAAATGAAGCACACTAATATAACTTGTTATATGACTGTGTGTCGCACTGACTTGACGAAACAAGAATCAGAATCAGTACGTCAGTGAGTTGAGTTGAGTTTTACGCCGCACTCAGCAATATTCCAGCTATATGGCGGCGGTTGTAAATATTCGAGTCAGGAACAGACAATCCAATGACCAACAGCATGAGCATCGATCTACGCAATTGGGATACGATGACCTGTGTCAACCAAGACAGTGAGCCTGACCACCCGATACCGTTAGTTGCCTCTTACGACAAGCATGGGTTACTAAAGATCAATTCTAACCCGGACCTTCACGGGTCAGGTTCCGAACTAAACTATTAACCACACCAAGCTGCTATTAAGACAATGTTATTATCAGGGTTTAACTGCACAAAAAATGTCACTTTTTCTTGTTTATAAGTCAGTTTAATTCCAAATACGATGTGGGAAGTCATTGCGGTAGGTTGGTTAACCACGTTATAACGTTGGGGAATAACGTAATAGGTTTGCTGGACGCTTCTCATAGGAAAACTGCTAATAATAGTACATGCATTTGAAAATATACGGCGGGGAGACAGGTATATTGCCAAAGTATGTTATGACATGCTTAGCTTAAAACAACCAAAATACACGTGTGACCTAATTTGGAAGTCTCTTGCAGTAACAGACACCATGCCGAAGGTAAAGGCACACATCAGTATCGCTGTGATCGGCCACGTGGACTCGGGGAAGTCAACAACCACTGGTCATCTCATCTACAAGTGTGGAGGAATTGACAAAAGGACAATTGAAAAGTTTGAGAAGGAAGCCCAAGAGGTAGGGTTGCCTCGCCCATAAATAAGAAAACAGGGCAAGTGAGTCAGTGAGTTTAGTTTTACGCCGTACTCAGCGATATTCCAGCTATATGACGGTGGTTTGTAAATAATCGAGTCTGGACCAGATAATCCAGTGATCAGTATCATGACCATCGATCTGCGCAATGGGAATACGATGACTTTTACGTGACTGCCCTGAATAGTTGCAATGAAAAGGATTATAGAATTAAGTTAATCAGATACGTTACAACCAGATACGTTACCATGTTTGGAAAAGTAACTACTGCGCCTGCCTAACTTCAGGAGCATTTTGATTGGATGATAACATTGTCTGCTAGTCCACTTCCGGCTGTCATGAGAGCAGAGGAACCCGTCTTGTCATGGTTTGGTATGTATCCACTTAAATCACACAATTGTTCAATAAATCGTTAAATTTTATCATAAGTAAGGTCAACAAAACACCTTTTTAACCTTTTGTGTTAATTTTGAATGTAATTTGAAGTATTTTGTTAGTAAACTATCAATGTTTATATAGAAGTCAGTTGAAGGGAATATAACGGTAACGTATCTGATTTTATTGGTCACGTATCTGGTAAATATTGTAACGTATTTGGTTGAGTTAGAATAACGTAAAAAGTCTAATGTTTCATATCAAAATTATAAATACCATAATGTAATGCGACACATTATGTATTTCAATCGCATTGACATAGGTACATATGATGGTTATTACAAATTTGAAGGTAACGTATTTGGTTTTTCACAGTAACGTATGTGGTAAAATATATTTCAAGTTTAATGTAAACATTCTAATAATTCGAAATGATTTCACTGTCAATAAAGAATAGTTACGTTTTGGATTTTGAAAATGCTTAGACATAGTTATAGTAACACAGTAATTATGAGAAATTGAATGGTGACGTATCTGTTTTTTATGGTAATATATCTGATTTTATGTAATTATTGTTGGTTGAATCAAATGAAAAGCTATCAATCAGCCAGAACTATATAAACATTATATTGTATTATTATATTCCAGGGCCATAATGGGCAAGACACGTGCTGAAGTTCAGCGTGCCTACAGAGAAAGAAAAAAGCTAAATGATGCTGGCTTTTTAGAAAAAGAGAGAATATACAGTTCCTGTCGCAATGCTGTCAAGATCAAAGTTGAAAAGACGAAGACTTATTGATAAAGAATGCTCTTCAAAGTACAGACAGAAAAAAAAAGCAATGCTAGGAACGCATTGTTTTCTAGTTATTTGTTTCGATGTTAGTGTTTTAAATGTCAGAAATGCTTTGTTCATAACCAGATACATTACCATATTCGATAACAATGTTGATTATGCAAGGGCATCAGTTAAAACGATATACATACATTGACATTTTAAGAAAGTTATGATAACAAAAGATATAACTGTGATTTTGATCTTATTGTTTGGTGTTTCAATTGCTTGTTCTTCATAAAAGGGGTATGTATGTTTCACATTTTCAAGAAGCTATGTTTCAAAATCACTAGGTAACGTATCTGGTTAGTCTCAAATGGGAACGGTCATCTTTGTAATGTTGTAACTTTGAACATATCAAACCTAGCAATCATGTATTTTGGTTTTATGAACTTCGTTTGTGTAATAAAAACTGATATATTCCAAAATATTGTTTGTTTATTTTTAATCTCAAATATCCAAGTTTAGTTGAGAATGAACCTGAAGGATAAATGAGCTGTGCACATACAGTCAAAGAAATTACAAGCTTGTTAAATTGAATCCCAAAACGGAAGTTGTGTCTGCATGTTTACATGTGTCATACTGATTTAATCAAAGTAACAATACCGACTAGGAAACGTGATTGCGGAGGCATCATTTTATTGAGAAATGAATGGATGACGTCACACACACACACACACACACACACACACACACACACACACACACACACACACACACACGCCCAACTCCTACACTCCCTCGCATCCCACCCTCTACACACAGAGAGCCACACACAGAGTCACTCACCCATCTAAACACGTTATCAAGAATCACAAACCATACAATGCCACAAATGCCATTTATCTTGTACCACAGCTTTGACTGTTGCGATGGTAGAACCACACCACACTATCACCTCACCACATCACACAACACAACACCAGGCCACAACACACTATCACCTCACCACATCACACAACACGACACCAGGCAACAACATACTTTCCCCCACCACACCACACCACAACACACTATCATCTCACCACATCATACAACACGACACCACACAACACTATCATCTTACGACACCACACCACACACCACAACACACTATCACATCACCACACAACACACAACACTATCACCTTAGGACACCACACAACACAACACCATACACCACAACACACTATCACATCACTACACAACACACAACACTATCACCTTAGGACACCACACAACACAACACCATACACCACAACACACTATCACATCACTACACAACACACAACACTATCACCTTACGACACCACACAACACAACACAACACCATACATGACACCACACTACAACACACTATCACATCACCACACCACACCACACCACACCACACCACACTACACAACACAACACAACACAACACAGAACACACTATCACCTCACCAAACCACACCGCACCACACAACCCGACACGGCACCACACCACACCACACCACACCACACCACACCACACCAAACCACACCACACACCACACCACACACCACCATACCACACCACACCACACACCACACCACCACATACAACACCACACACAACTAACAACACTTTCACCTCACCACATCACACAACACAACACAACACACAACACTATCACCTCACCACATCACATGGGCAAATTGCAGCGCAAATAGGGTTGCGCAACAAAGAGAATTAAATATATTGTACGTGAGTAATTATTAGATATGGGGTTGGAAATCTGAGAGTACAACTCTGTGAGGACATGGGTGTCAACCTTTGATTATAGCGATATTTTATTTTGACATTAAAAATATTTTTCGAACCGAAGCGAGGGAAGCACGTTGCCAACCTTTGCTCGCTTCGCTCGCATATGGGAAGACTGGTCATTTCCTTTTTGTTGCGCTACCTTTTGCCTGTGAAAAGGGTCAGCGAGTTCGTTGTATTCATACGCCGTTAATCGGTCACTTTAATTAGCGGTCTTAAACTGACATATAAGTACGGTTTTGATGAGCACTCAGCCAATCAGAATCGA